CACTATTTTCTGCTAGCTGGGGAGGCTGACAACTCTGTCTCTTGAGTCTCATTGTAAATTACTACTGGGGACCTGACCAAGATCCCCAGTCTCCCAAATGAGTGTATGGTGAAGGCTTAAATAAATGAGACAAGTGGTATGGTTTCAGGGCTTCAGGAGGATCAAAACCTCTAACAGTTCAAGACTCTGGGGGCTGAGACAAGGGATGTCTGGGTGGCCCATATTTATTTAATTTTCAAACAAGGAAGAGTTTAGAGTAAAAAATGCAGAAAACCGAGCAGGACCTTGGGAGTGGTTCAAGGACTTTTCCAAGTAACAGACTATGTAAATTTAGAAGTACCTTATGTTAATTTAAGAAAAGTACCTTAGGAGAAAGTCTCCAGGTTGACTTTCACTACAGGAGTGAAATGCCTGCAGCTATAATCTCTATCTTGTCAATTGGAGTTGAAGCCCAGGTGACCTCAGCTGTGGCCTTATCTTGTCTTTTGAGGCGTCTCTTTGTTCTCAGGTCAGCCATGACCCAGCCATGCCACAGCCCTGCACATGTGTTCAATTTCCAGCTTCAGTGACTCCAAACAAATCATGAGATTTCTTTGGCCAGGTTGACTTTTCCTCCATCATTAAATAACCTTTCTCATAGACCAGAGGTGCTCATTCTGTTGCAGTGTACACCCCTTCTCCCCTGACAGCCCATGCCCCTTCCTGAGCCTAGCCTCAGCTGTCCTGGGGTGTCTTCTGTTGTCTCTCTGTTCTCCAGGCCCACATGTGCCATGCTTTTTTCTCTCAGGCTAAAATCTCCCCTTTCCTCTCTCTCCTATCCTCCAGCTGTTGGTAACTGTTCTGTTCCTCCATGCAGTGCTATCTGACAGTGGTCCTGGGTCCATTGCTGGTCACCACCCCTCAGCCACTTGGCTCTGTGTCTCCGGTGCCCAGCAGCCTCCCTGGCATGGTGACAGCTGTGCCGCCCCTCATGGGTTTGCTTTGCAGGCCATGCTGTAACAGGCTCACAGTTAAAGAGAGTTTCTCTATCTTAGCGTGATTATCCCACATCCATTACCTCCAGGAGCTGAGCTGCAGAAACACCCAACACTGAGGTGTGGCCAGGTGACAAGAGCCTGGCTGTTATTTGTTCTCTGCCAAAGCTGCAGACACTGCCCAGTGGCCCTTCCCTCTTGTTCTAGAATGGGAACATTCATAGGGGGACACCCATTCTCTGTGACTGTGACTCTGGACCCCTCCCCTGCATGCTGGGGAATAGGGGGACACATTCAGGAAATGAGAGCTGGAATAGGCTGGATCACTGTTGCATGCCTCCCTGAGGGCAGCACTCTACAGGGAGGAGGAAGATACAGAAAGCATATGAGACTACACACTGAAAAGATGTTTGTATCTTCTCACTGACTCTACAGCAAACACATGTACATGCCTCATGTCTATCCACCAAATTAGTTTCACATCTTTTCCTTCCTCCCTCCCTCCCTCTCTATTTTCTTCCCTCCCTTATTTCTCTCATGGCTCAGATCAATCACCAAGTTCTATTCCACATGCTATAAATTCCTCATCTCACACAATTTTTACTAAGATATACCTATACAAAATCTAAGTGTTAGACCTAGACTGAAAATCCAACCAATCTGTCAAGGACATGTGGAAGTGGACCCTCCCCTGGGATTCACACTGTGCCCTTTGTGAAGCTGAGCACTATTTCAGCCCAAGCTCCCGCACAGGCTCATGGTTCTGGGGTACTGAGTCAATGGCCTGGACTGCATTTCTGGCTCTGTCATGCCCAGCTGTGTGATCTTGAACAAGTCATCCAGGTTCTCACAGGCGCCTTCCCTCACTCCAAAGCACATGAGAAGAGTGTAAATACTTTTCAGTTTATTTTGAGGACAGGATCAACTAACATGTATAAAACACTTCTATCAAGGCGAGGCCCCTAGGCTTCACAAACATCATCTACCATACTACTCTGACGTTTTGATTGCACACCTGGCGGGTGCCTGGAACCAGGGCAGAGGCAGTGTGAAAACAGGCTGGCCTGGCAATGCTGATGAACCCATCTTCTTCCTGAGCTCAGAGATGAGTGTCAGGTGGGGAGAACCAGGTCTGGCTGGTCACTGTGGCATACTGCCTCCCCCCAACAGGAGACGTGAGTTTCTGAGACACTGTCATCATGACTAGCGGCCATCACTTTGAGCATCTGGGATTTCTTCCAGTTGAATTTTGGGCTCTTTATGAACACTGGTAGAGTGTACTGTTCAAGGATCTTTCTTCACTCTCTGTTTCTTTTCACCAGTACTGGGGATTGAAGCCAGGACCATTGCACTAAACTACGTCCCAGTCTATTTTTTATTTTCTATTTTTGAGACAGAGCTTTGTTATTCTCCTGCCTCAGCCTCCTTCATGAGGCAGTGCAGTCTGGATACAATGGAAAGACATATGCAGCTGTGTGGTGAAACCGGCAGATTAACTGGCCCATTGAGAACAGAGTTTCCCATGAACCAAGGGACAGTTGCACCTGTGTGCAGTGCTGGGAGGTGGCTCTGAAGCACCCTCCTCTGGGAGCCCTTCCTTTGCACGCCACACCCAGTGGGAAGCACAGGCTGACTGTGCTCGGACAGTTTCCCTGCTGGACCTCAGCTCTTCGTCATTGCTGTGCTCCACCGTAGGCACCACTGCTCACCAGCGGTGCTCACAAAGGAACCTTAGAGGGCGGGGACTCGAGGCCAAAGTCCCATGTCCTGTTGAAACGGGCTTGCCCAGCCAGGGTGATGTGCAACTGCTTCTCCTTCCCCCTAAAATTATAATTCCCCACATCCACCCAGCTCTGGATATCCACAGAGCACGTGAGCATCCATCAGTGGGTTTTCTCCACCACCATATGCACTGAGCAAGAGACAGGGATCGATGATAATGATGCTGACTGTGATAGTCATACACGATAAAATAAAATGGAGAGCTTGCTCTGTACAGTTATCAGGCCAACTGCTTTGTATGGATTATCTCAGTTGGATTTCATCCACTTTCAGCTACAATAACTGAATTTCACAAACTGGGCGGTTTATAGAAGAAGGGCTGTTCAGCTCCCAGTTCTGAGGGTCTCAGAAGGAGAGGTTGAGTCACCTCTGCTAAGGGCCTTGCTGCCTGTGGGTGCTCTCTGGAGGGGTGGCATGGGACATCACATGGCAAGACCCCTGCTAGCCTAGGTCTCTAGTCCCCTTCTTGAAAAGCCACTAATGCCATTTTGGGGAAGACACTCTCATGATCTTATCCAACCCCAATTCAAGCACCCCAAGCACCCCAGCTCAAAAGACACTGACACATGAACCTCCAATGCCTAGCACCTTTGCCTCAGGCCTTCCCAAGGTGTCATGCTGTCTGTTAGCATCTCCAAGTCATGCGCATGGGGAGAGGTGTCTAAGGCCATTTGCAGCTTTCAGAGCTCACTGTCCTGGCCCCAAAGGGGTCAGGTAGAGCAGTCTATGGGCTGTGCCCAAAACACAGTGTTTCTGCACAGAAACAAAGACCTCTCATGACCAAAGGCAAACGGCACGATCCCAGTTGGAAATGACTAACAGGGATTCCTCACTTCTGCAGCAAGGGCTGGAATCTCCTCCTAATCAGCGCCCCTTCCACTGGCGAGCTCTGCCTACATCATGCAGACTATGGCATTTGGCAATGGCTCTTAAATTTGGCGCACTGCACGCTCCTCCTGGACCCACGAGATAACATAACCAAATGTTTTCTGATGCTGTAAGAAATGAATATTCTGTAGGTAGAAGGAAATGCAAACATTCTCCCCTCCAGAGGGCTCACTCCATCCAATCTCAAGGGCAAAATGGCTCACTCCCTCTTGACCCTTTAAAGGTTAAACGTGAGCAAGGGCCCAGATAAATGGTCACAATGCAAACAAAGTCATGTAAATAAATGCATCTTTGATCTACACGGGCTGGTGATGCCAAATATACCATCTGTACCATTTCTCATGATGAGCTGATTTTTTTTTCCTCTGCATGTCCCAAGCAATGAGAATATGACCCTGTGTTTGCAGACCAAGACATGCATCATTTGACAGTCTTGGAAATTTTTTCTTAAATTTCAGACTCATAAAGAAAATCAGTGATATTTGTGTTTCTCTAGGTTGGGTTGGAGTTGAAAGAAAGAGAGAAATCTCAGTAGAAAGTAACAGGGCACCTGTCCAAGGCTTGAGAAGGCGCTTTCAATCTATTGTGGGTTTTTTAGCCCATTCTGGGCTCATCTGCAATCCATCCCCACTCATTCACTAAGTGTCATTCACGCAGCAGAAGCAGTGTGGTACCATCCACACTGTTCAGCGCTACATTAGGTGCACTGGGTGCAAAGAGAAACAAAATACAGTAGTTTGCTTTGGACGGTCATTCCCTGTGCTGTGACAGTTGGCTTGCTATGAATTATGGATAACTCTTGAAAAAATGCAGGCTTCATAATCAGAACCACTGGGGGAGCTTCTTAGGGCTATATGTGACCATCATTTATTCCTTTGGATAATCATAGGCTAAGATGAGGCACCAGGGTCTGCATTATTTTTAAAAATTCTTATTTTTATTAGTGCCTGTTTGCAGGTCATAGTGATTACACACCCCACGAAGAGCTGGAACACATACATTACACATCTCAATTCTTTTTTAGCTTCTTATATGTCCTCCCCCCATTTCTTAGTCATTTCCTTTTTGCAAAAGATCTGTCCCCCTACTTCTGTTATCTGTCTTTTATTTTGTTCTTTATTTTGCTCTGGGTTTCTCATATAAGAGAAATCATGCAATATGGAAGCTTGTGCCTCTCACTTATCTCATTTAAAATTATGGTCTCAAGGTGCATCTGTTTCCCTACAAATGACTCAAGCTTATCTTTCTTTATGGCAGAGTAGTGCTCCACTGTGTAAATACCACTTTTCCTTTGTCCAATTTTCTGTTAACAGACATACAGGCTGCTCAAAATGAAATGAAACTTCAGGTCTAGCATTAGCAAATGAGAAAGTAAACTTTTTATTATTTTATGGGAAGATGATAAAACAAAATTTCATAACCAAATAATAGGAGAATAACAGTAGTTAATACATTGCATGCTACTTTAAAGTAGTTGCTCAAAATTTCTCCTATCAATAGTAGCACAAACTTTTCATGCTGCCTCTCCTCCAACATTCTTAGTTTTTGTCACTTTGGTCTCTGTTGCACCTCCTTGCCTCTGCCTCTGGGGGAGGAAAGCAGTCACAGGCGAGGTGAGGGGCTGTTTGGGTGTCGGTTTACTGGTACAAAGACCACAGTTTTTGTACTGGACGTGGCCTGTCAGCTCCTGATCTAGAAGATTCCTAGAATCATGAACAAGGCTTCAGAATGACGTGGGTGAAAAATATCGACAGGTACACCTTCTGTTTTACCTCTGTACTTCCCCCTCACTGTCTTACCCTCTGCACCGTAGTACAGGAAACTATTTTTATCATGGCTCCAATACTTGCATTAAGTCACTCTGAAATACTTTTCAGAGATCCATAATTTAATCCCAATCTCTTCTCAGGCAAGAGTTTTAGTAGATACAATCAGACAAGGTACCTTCAGCTCATAGCCTGAGAGCTATACACAGCCCTGCATGGCTGGGAATGTGGCCCCACAAGATCGTAAACTTTTAACATTACTGTAATATTTTTACCAATATTTTCTGTGATTCAGCTGTGTGGGGCACGAGCATGAGTGTGTAAGCAGCAATGCTGAGGCGGTGGGGAGCAGGCTCAGAGTGGTGCTAACCTCACCTCACTGGCTGTGTCCCCCACGCAATCAGCCCATCCGTTCCCATGATATCAGACGTCACAGGAGCTGGGGCAGCTTGGCAAGTAGGGTGCAGTGACTGCAGGTCGTAGCGTCCCAGCCTCCTTCCCGTGTGTTCCTGTGAAGACAGGCATGTATCGTCAAGCACGCCACGAAGTCTTCCTGCTTAATTATCAAACTTGGGCAGCCACTTTCCATGGAGCCAGACATTGATGCAACAGTTTCATAAAAACAGGGTCAAATATTACCCTACTTTAATGCTTGTGCTGCCCCTTTTTAAAATGTTGTTAAAAATAAAGGAAGCTTTGTTACTTGGACACATCGGTCGTGCATTTTATATCTGTCTAAGGACAATTTCTCTTCACTCAGTGCAGTTCAGGAAAGCGAAAAGGTCCTACAACCACAGTCTAAATGGAGAAATCCATGTAATTAGGTGCTCAATTTTTTGAAGAGATCAGAAAAACATCATTGCATTTGATAGTTTGGTGTAGAAAAAGGAGAAATATGTATTAATATATGTACACGTATATGTGTGTAAAGAGCTTACATTTTTACTTTATCAGAACTTCATGAAATAATAATTGAATATATTAATCCAAATAGCACAGAATTTTGTGGAGAGATGAAAGACTGCAGTATACACAATAGATGTGATATGGTGAGTGTTATGGTTTGTATCTAGATGTCCCCCCAAAGCCTCTGTGGTCAGAGGACTTTTTTCAGAGGCTGAATCTAGATTGTGATTGATCCCCAGTGCAATGCTGGGATTATGGAGGCTGGGATTAAGGGCATGAGTGCTACACCTGCCCAGGGTGGGTGGGCTCCGTACAGTATGAGAGACTTGTCTGGTTCCTTTTGCTACCTTCTGTTGCCATGATCTGTTTTTCTTCTGGGGCACCCCTCTGCCAAGCTACCCTGCCTTGGACTCAGCCAATTATGACTAAAACCTCTATAAACTAGGAGCCAACTAAACCTTTCCTGGTTTCAGCTTAAAGTGGTAGGTGTTTTGTCTCAGCGATGAGAGAAGAATAACTAAGACAGTGAGGGATCACCACTGCAAGTGCAGTTAATTATTCTTGTGTGAACATGTGGTAGAGAAAGTAGCAGAAAGGAAAGTACCATGGAAGCTCAGAAAGCACCACAGAGCTGAAGTTACACTTGGGCGGGGCATTGCGGGATGAACAGGAGTTCTCCCTGCAGCTAAGGGGCAATAGAGAGGGTTCCAGCAAGAGAAGACTCAGGAAAAGCACTTTATGTTTAAGGAGCAATGGTCAGGCTAATCTGACATCACAGCAAGGTGCAAAGGGATAGAAGAAGGAAAACAGTAGATGCTGCCTTAGTGAGGGGTGAGCCGGGTCAGAGGGAGCAGGTCCTGCAGGTAACACTAAAGTTTTGGGACTTAGTAGACTGGGAAAAACCAATTAAGTGTTAAACCAAGGAATTGACTTGATCTTAGCTGAGTTTTAGGAATAGTTTGTGTATTGATCACCTTTATGTTACTACAACAAAATACTAGAGGCAACTGACTTAATACAAAGAAAATGTTTCATTCACAGTTTTGGAGCTTGGAAGGCATGGCCCTCCCCATTGGCTCAGTTTTGAAGAGGACCTCATGGTGGTGGTGCTGAGTACTGGAGCCAGCTGTCACATCTGCAGCAAGAGTTGAGAAAATACGATGAGCAGGACCAGACATGCTTCTTTTATAGCGAGCAGTCTTCCTATAAGAACCCAAGGGCGATACTTGAACTACTTCCTGTCCATACTGACCTAAGGACCTTCCACGCCCCCGATGTCTGCAAGGTCTCACCCCTCCTACCAGTGCCTCCTGGGGACCAAGATGTTAATCCTCAGGGACCCATGGAGAGCACAAAAACCACACCCGAACCACAGCAGTCTGAGAAGAGACTTTGTGGACAGGAGATGCTTGTCAGAGTCAGGCACGGTGGCCCTCACAGTTGGCCGCAGCCATTTCCAATGGTCTCCGGCATCGTGCTCCATCTGTGAGTAAGGACACGTGGGCCCCTGTGGCTTCCTGGGGAGCTACCTGGGGCCAGCTGCTGCCGGGGGCTCCACTGGGTTTCGAGCTTCATATCTTAGCTTTCTCACTGGCAGAGTTTGCAAGCAGTGTGAGCTGCTGCCTACTGGGCCGTATCTTGCATCAGTGTTGCGCTCCCTGGACAACCTGCCCTGTCCCTGGCTCTCATCGCAGCCAGCAGTGCCGCACTTGCCAGGCCGGCACAGCCCTTCTCTGCTCCCTCTGCAGCGCCTCAGTTTCCCTCTTTGACTTCCCTCACACTCTGTCTCAGAAGCAGACTTCCTGGAGATCCAAAGAAGACCAGGCCTCCAGCTGCTGGAAATGTGGGCCACACATGTGAGCTCCCAGTATAGAAATCAGCAGCCCAGAACATGCAGCAGGTGCCTCCCAAGGCTCTCTCCATAGCTTTGCAGGCACTTTGCTGGGCACCAACGTCCTGAGGAAGCCCTGCCAGGATGAGAACCTCGCGGAGCTCATTGTTTAAGCCTGGAAACCAAGAGAACGATCATGTGGCTTCCCTTTTAGGAAGCCAGTTTCCCAAAGCCATGCAGGGGAAGCACAAACCCTTCCTGGCCACCATCACACCACGGAGGAGACCTTTGTCTCTCTGGTGGCCAGAAGTGTAGGCCTGGGCCGCAGGGCGGGGAGAAGTTGCCCTTCCAAGGAGAGAGACAGATGGGGGCACGTTTTGCTTGCCTTTCCTTCTGGTCATCCAGGAATGAATTACTATGATAAAAAAGGAATTCTTTTTCTATTCTTCTTTGACAGTCACTTTTCTTTTCGATTTGTATTTCCCATTTAGCCATAAAGCAAAAACTCCTCAGTCCACCCTTTGTCCTCCACTACGCCATTTTAAATTGGGAATCCACATCCTACTTTACCAGTGAGTGACTTGGAGTTACTTATGCTTATTTAAAAACAAATAAAAACAAGAACCGCTAATCAGAAAAATTGTTTATGGCCATTTATGACAGAAGTTCCTGTTTCTATGGATTATTTTTTACTATTTCAAAATGTAGCTCTGTTTCTGTCAAATATTGGGTTTGGATAACTGAGCTTTGGAAAATCAAAGGACTTTAAAACCACTGTGGGTATAAACTGGAAGGACAAAAGGCAACCTTAAGCACCAAGATTCAATCCACTATCACCCTTAGGTTGAGTGATAGGAACAGGTTAGTACACGGTGTACGAGACCAGCCTAACACCTTTATGCTGCAAATCTCCAATTCTGTTCAAGGGGCAGGACAGTGTTGATCAGAAGGAGCTCAGTTTTTTAATCCCTTTAAAAATCAGGACAAAGGATGGCATATTATTAAACTAAAATGTTTAAAAATGAAAAGTATTATGTATGCCACATGGCAAAAGATCAGATTTTTATTAATGCAAGTTTTAAATGCTGATTAATCCTCCGGAGAGTCAGTTTCCCAAAGCGTTGGATTGTGTTCAAGTCTTTTTCTAAACGACACATCACTTCCATTATTCTGAATATTAATTGAACAACATTATAACCAAGGACACAAAGCAAGATTTAAAACACGATTACAGCTGTCAGTGCTTACATCTAAATAAGTCACTGCAAATTCAAGCCCAGAGGAGAAAAGTGTTGTAAATCGGTCTTATCAGAAGAGGGATGCTCTTTCCTAGCCTTTTTAAAAAATGAATTTGCTGCGTTAAGTCTCAGGAAAGCTTTCGCTGTAACTTGGTCTCATATTTATATGGGTCATAAATGAGAGTCACGTTTTTGACTTGTGATTCAAGACAACACCAAGGCCATTTTCTTTGAAGGGGAAGAAGGAGAAGAACCCAAAAATACTGTCTAGTTGATAGAATTTCCCCCTTATTTTAGGTTTCTATTTTAGTCTCCGTCTATACTCAAAAATCAAAGAATTAGCCAAATTCAATCAAACAAATTATCACTGTGTTTTCAAAACAACTCATTAAGCTCAGAGCGGAACAACAGCAAAGGACTAATGGCTTCTTTTCACGATAATCAATTGTTTGTCTAAATTCAACTTCTTTTATCTCTCAGATCCGGTTTGGGGATAGATGAAAGCCCCCTCGTCCCAAAGCAGAAGCGATGTCAAATACCGCCTCCTGTTACAACCATGGGGAATTTTAGTTTTGCTTTGTTTCCTTAAATGGCTGCAGTATATTTGAGTGATAGCTCTTTGTTCGAAGGGACGAACCCACCACTTGCACATCTAATTCTAATGAGATAAGTGGCATTATGAAGGGAATATTAAAAATTTACAGCCCTCTTTACCAAGTTTATTTGTCAGCCGTACATTCTGAATATTGCATAGCACACGCGCGCACGCGCACACACACACCGAAGCCTACAGTCCTAGCGATGAAAAAGATATGAGGAGATAATGAGGCGATCATAACACGTCGGATGGAGTTTGCATATCTCTGCGGCCGTTTGGCTCGTCTTTTAATTGTATTGCGCCAAACTGGCAGAATCACACAATATGTTAGTGTAAAGGGTCCACAGTTTAAGGGGGAAATCTAGAAGTGTTAACTATAAACTGTCTAATTATACAACCTTACTGTCCCAGAATGTGATTTCAGAAACCATCTCTGACATATGGGATAAGGATAGAACAGCTGGTCATTAAGGTTTCCTCAAGACTATTTAGCAGCACACTTGAATGTAATTAAAGTGAGACACTAAATACTGCATTTGTGGTACAATGTATTTTTAATTTTTATGGCATGTGGTTAAAGTAAATAGATGCAAAGCATTCAAGTTTCTCCAGTTGGCTTCCAACTTGTCAAAGATGTGCTGTCGGTTTTGGCTGACGGCAGGCAGGGTCCTGGTATAAGTCACAGACCACCGTTTGTGGCATTTGAGGCTGTCTTCAAGGGGTGAATGCGGTCGTGTTTAAAGGAAATGTTCACTGAAACTCCTCGGCAAGGCGGGAGACTCAGTCATTTATTCATCCAGGCGTACATAGGTGCACATACGCCTGCATTCATTCATCAAATGCAGACGGGCATTATTTGAGGCAATGCAAACAGGATCTGTGCCCTGGAGTTGCTCAAAGTTTTCTGAACTTACAGACAGGGGTGCAGCAGGAGTG